AAGTCACCTAAGCCCCTTGATTTCCCTAACCGCCCCCGTGATGGGGAACCTGTGCCACGCGTGGCAGAGGAGGCACGTGGAGCCCGTCTCTGTGGGCATGGGCACCATCGCCAGCTGCTCTCCCGGTTTCCAGCAGTTGATCTTCTAGGGTCCTGGAGGGCCGGAAAACGGCCCCAAAAATGACAAAAAAAACCCCATGGTTTTCATGGCTGTTTCCATGACATTTTTGGGGACATTTTCGGGCTGTTTTACGGGCCACAAACGGCCTGAAAGCAGCCAAAATACAGGGATGGGCATGCTGGCATGAGTTCCATTTTTGCCACCACCTGCCCTAATTCCAACCTCCCCCAACTCCTGTATTGGAGAGATGGCAGAATACTCCTTGCGGGAAAGCAACCCCCCCCCCCAATGTCCTCTTGCAGCCCCTTCCGTGCTGGCCTCTCTTAGGAGCCCTTCCAAAGGCTTCGGAAAAGGGACGGGATCCCCCCCTTTGGGCAGTTTAGAAGAGCCAGGGGGGGGGGGGTGAGGTCTCCCTGGGAGGAACTCCGGTGCCATCAAACCCCAATTGCCTGGCAAGGAGAGGCTAATTTCCATGGATCTCCTTCAAAGCTGGGTAAGGGGCCTTTCCATTTGCCGGGTGCCAATTTGGGGAGGGGGGGGGGCACCGCCTTGCAGAAGAAGAGGAAGAAGAAGAAGAGGAGGAGGAGGAAGAGGAGAAGCAGAAGAAGATGAAGAGGAAGAAGAAGAAGCAGAAGAAGATGAAGAGGAGGAGGAGGAGGAGAAGAAGCAGAAGAAATGGAGGAGGAGGAGGAGAAGCAGAAGAAAAAGAAGAAGAGGAGGAGGAGAAGAAGAACAAGAAGAAGCAGAAGCAGAAGAAGAAGAAATGGAGGAGGAGGAGGAGACGAAGCAGAAGAAGATGAAGAGGAGGAGAAGATGAAGAGGAGGAGGAGAAGCAGAAGCAGAAGAAAAAGGAAGAAGAAGAAGAAGAGGAGGAAGAGAAGAAGAAGAAGAGGAGGAAGAGAAGGAGAAGGAGAAGAAGAAAAAGAAGAAGAAGAAGAAATGGAGGAAGAGGAGGAGGAGAAGAAGAAGCAGAATAAGGAGAGGAGGAGGAGGAGAAGAGGAGGAGGAGGAGAAGAAGCAGAAGCAGAAGAAAAAGAAAAGGAAGAAGAAAAAGAAGAACAAGAAGAAGAAGAGGAGAAGCAGAAGAGGAGGAGAAGGAGGAGGAGGAGGAGGAGGAGGAGGAGAAAGAAGGAGAAGAAGAAGAGAGGAGGAGGAAGAAAGGAAGAAGAAGAAGAAAAGAAGAAGAAGAAAGAAAGAAGAAGAAGAAAACTCCTTGCATTATTTAGGGGGGGGGATTTCTCTGGGGAGCTGGATGCTTCTCTCACCCCACACGATGTGCGAACACCGCCCGGTCTTTCAGTGCTGGGCGAGGGGCCTGTTTTACAGCCGCCTCATGAAAAATGAAGAGGCCGGGCTGATTTTGGCAAGGGAAAATGACTTAACCCCGTGTAAAAGCCATGAATATTTGATGCCGGAGTTTATTAAATTTCTACAAGCATCAACCTCGAATGCAACGCCCTGCACAGATTCCCCCGAGCCAGAGAAAAAGTGAAAAGTAGATTCAGGCCGTTTCCAGGCCGTCCTCGACTTACGACCACAGCAGAGCCCCAAATTCCCGTCGCTGAGACCTCAGTGCAGCGACTTTGGTAAATCGCCTGGGACCCTTTTGTGACTGCTGCAGCATCCTCAAAAGGTCGCTTGACTCGTATTTACGACGGTTACAGAGTTCCCAGGGCCACGCGATCCCCTTTTGCGACCGTCTGTCCAGCAAAGTCAACGGGGGGAAGCCGGACTCACTCAACGACCGTGTGACTGGCTGATCAAACGCCGTGATTCACAAAGGTCGCAAAAAGGGGCAAAACTCACAACTGTCTCGCTCAGCAACCGAAAGTTTGGATTCGTAAGTCCATGCCGGTTGCCAGGCACCCCAATTTTGATCTCACGACCACAGGGATGCCGTGACCGTTATAAGCGCGAGGATCAGCTGCAAGTGGGAGGAGCAGCTGTAAATCCATTTTTTTTCCAACGCTGCCATAACTTTGAACCATTGTTTAAAAATTGTTGTAAACCGAGGACTCCCTGTTAAATAACCTGAGATTAGCTTCACAACCTTCTGCATGTTTTTAATCACTTTGGGAAGTTTCAAAGGCTTCATTCCCACCCCCCCTTTATGGTGGGAGGGGGCATCTGATGCCAAATTTTACCCACCCTTCGCCCTGATTTTCCCGCAAAGGAACCTGCTAACGCCAACTTGGAGTCCCCAATTCAAAAAATAAAATAAAAATCACATTTGGCCAGTCCAGATGGCTGAGGTTATAAATTTTATTCCGTTTTTATTTTATTTCCCCCCCCTTTCCGCTCCCAATGCCGTCCGTCCTCTCTGCTATTTGAAGTAATGGCTTCCTTCATCTTCCTTCTCGTAATATATAAGGCCTCGTGTTGCTGCAGTGGGATTGCCAAGCTCATTTGTCACACAGACCTTGCTCCCTGGGTGTGTGTGTGTGTGCGTTGTGACTCTGTTTTTGTGCAGAGCCATCGAGCTGCATTCAAACCTTTCTCTAATTGCACCCATAAAAATCTCACACTTTGCAGCTCGGATCCCAAGTTTCCTTTCCACACTGCAGATATTTTCACGGCAAACGTCGGATGGAGACTTGGGAAGGAAGGACGCAGGGCCCCCGGGGCCCCGTTAACTTAAAACAAGTGGCCCCCCTGCAACGAAGGAGCGGGTTCCCCCCTCCGAGTCTTGGAGGGTGGGGGGGGGGGGGGNGCGATAACTATTGTGTCAGCTGTGAAGAATAAGGACAGGAGCTGCTGACCTGTTTTCATCCAATTTTGGGCCTGTTCCTGGATTTCAGTGTCTGCCAACTACGTAGATTATATAAATAACAAATGTTACTTTGTCCTTTACTGATCTAAGCGCACCAACTCAGCCTTCAGGGACGAAAGCAGTTCCTTTCGGTCATAGTAATAAAGCTTTATAATTGTGGTAATCTAAGGGAGCAAAATCTTGTGAACATTTGTATCTTTAAAAAAAAAAAAGCCATTCCTTGAGCTCTAAAATAGAGCCTTTTATTCATAGTTAGGGGCAGATGTGCGCAACCTGGGAGGGCCCACACATCTGCCATCAGTTTTTTTAACCCCTCCAACATCTGTTCACAGAACATAAACTAGGTTTTAACGTGCAGTCCACAGCTCAGCCAGGTTTTACAAACTTCAAAAACAGCTCTGAATGAACTCAGAATATGGTTAAAAAACGCGCTTTTAGATAAAGAGAGATTTGATACGCCTGGGGAAAGAAGCATACAGAACAACAGAGTTGGAAGGGACCTCAGAGGTCATCTAATCCAACCCCCTGCTCAAGCAGGAGTCTATTCCAACCTGGTCAAATGGCTGACCAATCTCTTTGAAGACCTCCATTGATGGAGCACCCACAACTTCTGGGTGGTGGGTTGTCAAGTCGTCCAAGGCTCTGTTAACATGGTCGCCGGGGCTGCTGTGACCCATGGGCTTCGCCAGAAACGGGGACCTTGGCTTGCGAGTAGCCCAGCGTCCATCACCATCACGCCGATGGTTCTTCCTGAAGAACACAAACTCTGGAAGATGCTACAACGGCGAGGAGCATTCTTAGCCTTTACTGCGCCCGGGAGAAGGGACAATTCACCCAGGGTTGGTTCTGGCTGGCCTTCAAACAACCTTCAGGGAGATCTGCGGGGCCTTCAGACCACCTCTTCTCCGCTCTCCTCCTCTTCCTCCTCTTTGGCAATAAAATGCATTCTTCGGAACTCCCGCCGGCTGGTGTTGCTCCGCGAGAAGGAGGCGGCCGGTGGGGGGTCCTGGAAGAAAGAGCCAAAGAGGCAGCCGGTATGGACGTTGACCCCCCAAATTAAGAGGCTGAAGCACCTTCCGTTGACCACCCAAAGGAACGAGGGCCTCCTTTTGCCTCTTACCTGCCTCCTGTGGACTTCCAACTCCCAGAATGCCCCAGCCACCCATACCTGCGTGAATGCCATGCTTCCGAAGAACCGGTCCATCGGCAGAGGCTGGTTACTGTCCTCGTCCAAGAAAACGCTATTGTCCGGCTCGCTGATTTGGCCGGACGCCTCCTCCGGCTCCATCTGCAAAGAGGTGGACGCAGTCTCGTCTCCTTCCTCTTCCTCCCCCTCCTGTGGCTGGTGGGGCCGGAAGGCCTCAGACCTCCTGGGCTCCGTGTTCTCCTGGGGGTTTTCCTCGTTCGGCACCCTCGCCTCAAGGTCCAGGGTGGAGGCTCCCGAGTGGGCTTCATCCGCCAGCCCCACCCCAGGCGCCGTCGTCTTCTTGGCCCCCCGTTTCTTTTCGCATCTTGGCTTCTTCGAGGGACGCCTGGTGGTCCCGTTGTGCGAAGGACCCTGCGGAAGGAAGGGCAAGGAGAGAAGGAAGCCCATCAAGGACCCTCGAAACGAGAAGCTTCCTATCGGTGAGAACAATCAATCAGTGGGATGGAGGCTGTCCCCCCCCGGAAGTTGTGGGTGCTCCATCGTTGGAGGTCTTCGAGAAGAGACTGGATAGGCTGGGGCTGGACTAGAAGACCTCCAAGGTCCCTTTCCAGCTACTGTGATTCCGCATTCTGTTGAAACTGCTGGTTGGGATGGCTAGCAAATCAGAACTGGACTTGGAAACCAATGGATTGCCCTTCAGGGGTACCAAAATGCAGGAGATGCTATGGCTCATGAAGCTCACTAGTGTTTCTCAACCATGGCGACTTTTAAGTCCTGTGGACTTCAACTCCCAGAATCCCCCAGCCAGCACAGCTGTGCTGGCTGGGGGATTCTGGGAGTTGAAGTCCATAGGACTTAAGAGTCGCCAAGGTTGAGAAACACTGCCCTAGGCATTTGCATCAACATTAGCCTATGCTTATTAGGCTGGCAATTCTTTTTTTTTAAATTAATTTTTTATTTTATCAATTTCATATATACATTCACAATTATATGATCTCATAACTGTTATTAATTATATGTATTTATAACAATTTTTTCCCTACAGTTGACAATATACTTGAAAATTGCTTTCTTACCATCCCATAGATCCATCTTATCTTACAACGGTCCTACTTCTTCTTCCCTCCCTCCCTCTTTCCTTCCCTCNCCCTCTTTCCTCCCTTCCTCCCTCCCTCTCTCCCTCCCACTCTCTTTTTCTCCTTTCCTTCTTTCCCTTCTCCCTTTTTCCTTCCCTTCCTTCCTCCTCTTCTCTTTCCCTCCTTCCTTCCTCTTCCATCTTCTTTTTCTCCCTCCCTCCCTCTTTCCTCCCTCCCTCCCTCCCCATCTAATTGCTTGGAAGATGCAGGATTGTCTGCCTGTCTGAAAGGAAAGGCTTTCCAGAGAAGGACTCAGGGCTTTGGTCCAGGGGGGCCGAAGTTTCAGCCCTGCCCGGACTCGGCCGTCTTGGGCTTTCAGGAGAGGCTGCCGGGCGTGGAGGGAAGTTTCTGCTCCACTAACACTGAAAAAAGGGAGTTGGGAGAGAGAGGATGAGGTTGTGACGTCAGCCGAAGGGGAGAGTTGTGGGGGGGGGGGCGTTTCTGCTCTTCGCCAACTGCAGCTTCAGCAGCCTCCGATTTGGAGAGGGTGCTGGGCTTATGGGTGGCCTCAAATAAACTCAGCCCCAGCCCCCTTTCCCCCCACTCCCTGAGTGTGTGTGTGTGTGTCTGGGGGGGGGGAGCTGCTCCCAGGAAAGCAGAACAAAACCCAACAGGACAGGCTTAACCCCCCCACCCCCCCTCCCCAGCTACAGTTCTCCTCTGTTCCTCCCCCAGAAGAGAAGAGAGGGCTTGGCCCACTTCCCTCCTTCCTTTCTTTTTCCATTTTGTCTTTTTTTTCCCCTCCTTCCTATTCTTCTTCCCTCCCTCTTTTCTCTCCCTCCCTTTCTTCTCTCCCCTTCCTTCCTTCCTCCCTTCTTTCCTTTCCCTTTCTTCCCCTTTTCCTCCCTTCCCTCCTTCCCTCCTTTCACCGCCACCCTCGTCTTCCTCCCAAGTCACCTAAGCCCCTTGATTTCCCTAACCGCCCCCGTGATGGGGAACCTGTGCCACGCGTGGCAGAGGAGGCACGTGGAGCCCGTCTCTGTGGGCATGGGCACCATCGCCAGCTGCTCTCCCGGTTTCC